AGGGAAAAGATCAAAGGAGCGAATAACAGTGGCTTTGTGCTCTAGTTTGACCGGCGAGAAGATTAAGCCTCTTGTTATTGGTAAATCTCGTAACCCGAGGTGTTTTGGTAGAATGGACGTGAAAAGTTTGCCAGTTGATTATTTTTTTAATAAAAAAGCGTGGATGAACAGTTACATTTATGAAGAATTCCTGAAGTCACTAAACAGAACTAGAAATGTGTCATCATGCCACGGATGCCCCCGCATGCAGCCAAAATTTCAGATGTTATAATATTTAGTTCCAAAATTTGTTTGCACAAATTATTGTTTTCATTTTAAGTTCAAAGCCCTTAAAACTTTTCAACGTTTACACAAACCATTTTCATACAATGTTCAAGGCACTGAAATTATTCAGTCTTAACCTTTTTGAAAATAGCATATTTCATATTTGTAGCCAAAATAATGGCTACATACATTTCCACAAAAGTATGAGTGCTGAAACTGAAAGTTCAAATTTTTTCCAATATTCAAGAAAGATAAGTTTGTCCAAAAATCATTGAACCATGACCAAATTCAAACTTAAACTGCTTATTCCTAAGATGTATCTATATTATTATCAAAGTGAAAGGGACATAACTCTGCCAAAAAATCATCGAACCATGACCAAATTCCAACTTGACCTGCTCATTCCTTTGACATATCCATATGTCAAATTTGAGTTGAATATGTAACACTGTTGGGTAGATAATGAACAGAAACTGTAAATTTCATATTATTTTCAAAGTGAAAGGGGCATTACTCTGCCAAAAATCATTGAACCATGACCAAATTCGAAATTGGCCTGGGCATTCCAAAAACATATCCATATGTGAAATTTGAGTTGAATGTGTTGTACTGTTGGGGAGATAATAAACTGAAACTGAAAATTTCATATTATTTTCAAAGTAAAAGGAGCATAACTCTGCCAAAAATCATCAAACCATGACCAAATTCAAACTTGACCTGTATTTTCTCATGACATATCCATATGTCAAATTTGAGTTGAATGTGTTGTACCGTTGGGGAGATAATGAAGAATCTGTGAATCTTTGATGTTTACACACCTGTAGTTGTTGCCGAATCATCAAAGAAATGCCGACACTCAATTGACTTCCACCTCTTTTTTATATATCAGAAAAAAACTGTCATTTCTTTTTGTCAAGGAATGATTACACATGTTTAATTATGCTCAAGTAAAAAAAAATGTTGGATATTGATTGTGTCAATTATTGACATATTATTAATCGTAAGTGCATTTTGATTGTGATATTTTATTTACATTTTTATGATCTTGAAGATATTGTGCAATACTTGTGTCTGCTATCAAAACAATAATGCATATGAAAGGACCACAGCTTCCAAAAAATTATTTTTTCGGTCAATTTTATGACAGAATCCCCGCTGCTACCAGAAATGTTTTATTGCATGGGCTCAGTATTTAATCTGTGACGTCAGTCATAAACAAACGAACATGTACCCCAAAGCACATTAAAATTACCACATGGTAAACTAGTGACCATATAAATGCTTTACAAATATTCATTAATTGAACAAAACAAGAGCTGTCGGTAGGACAGCAACGCTCGACTATTCTTAGTGCTTGATAGTAAAAAAAATGCTTGATACAGTTACCTCCTCCTGTTTACAGGTTGGGGTCATGATGGTGAACAAGTGTGCAAAGTTTCAAAGCCATATGTCAATGGACTTTGAAAATATTTGAACTATTACAAAAACTTTAACGTAAATTCTAAGTCGAAAAAGGGGCATAATTCTGTCAAAATGCTTGATAGAGTTACCTCCTCCTGTCTACAGGTTGGGGTCATGATGGTGAACAAGTGTGCAAAGTTTCAAAGCCATATGTCAATGGACTTTGAAAATATTTGAACTATTACAAAAACTTTAACGTAAATTCTACGTCGAAAAAGGGGCATAATTCTGTCAAAATGCTTGATAGAGTTACCTCCTCCTGTCTACAGGTTGGGGTCATGATGGTGAACAAGTGTGCAAAGTTTCAAAGCCATATGTCAATGGACTTTGAAAATATTTGAACTATTACAAAAACTTTAACGTAAATTCTAAGTCGAAAAAGGGGCATAATTCTGTCAAAATGCTTGATAGAGTTACCTCCTCCTGTCTACAGGTTGGGGTCATGATGGTGAACAAGTGTGCAAAGTTTCAAAGCCATATGTCAATGGACTTTGAAAATATTTGAACTATTACAAAAACTTTAACATAAGTGGTTACGCCGACGCCGACGCTCGGGTGACTGCAATAGCTCTACTTATTCTTATCGAATAGTAGAGCTAAAAATGTTTAATCCGTTTCCACACCTTAATTTGATACGTGCTATTATTAGTTAATTCAACTTAATTGCCGCGTGCATGCAGTACTACGTGACGTAAGGAAAATATCCTTCCCTGGTTGGTCGCTATTTATGTAAATACTTTAAATAGTAACACCCTAATTTTATGCACAGAATGCCCTCATGAATGATCACTCGTTACTTTACATATTAAATGTGTGATTTAACTCCGATTTTATTTTTGTTATCGAGGGAATTTTTTGGGTAGAATGCCCTGGCCGATTTGGCGGAAATAAAAAAAAATCTGATTTGCATCTTGCTACTCATCACCTACTCATGCACCTGGCATTTTTTACTCGTGAAATTGAAGGTAAAGAATGTCTCAATTTAAGTGATAAAACTTTTACTATTTTCAACAATCATAATTAGCGTATTAGACGTAATAATTAGTTACACCTGTGAATCGGTGCTAAATGTCGCTTTGCATTGTTCTAAAAATAGAATATGTGCTAAAGTAAACAATGGATTTTAATTACATTTGTATTATTATCAAAATAACAATTGGACAATTTGTTATTGTGCGTTCTTTGATGTACAGTCGAGACTGCCTTAACGACCCCCTGAATTAGACGACTCCCTGTCATATGCGACGCTATTTTTTTGCCCCCGACGCAATTTACTATTAATTTAGACTGAATTAAGCGACTCCCTGTCTTACGCGACAAACGACTATGAAATCCGGGTCCCGATCCGCTTTTCAGACTGTTTTTTACCGACTTTGAGACGCTCCCCAGAAAATTTATACACGAAGAGTTATCGTTCGTTATTTCGCGCGATGTTATTTGTGACGAGATTTAATTTGATTACAAAACATGGCAGCTGAAAAAAGCAAAAAAAAAGGAATCGTTTTAACACTTGAACAGCGTGTTGAGGCCCTAGAAATGCTAGATGGAGGTAAACCAGCGTACAAAATTGCACAGACTATTTTGTTGGCAAAACGCAAATTCAAAATTTACGCAAAAGGAAGTTGGAAGTTTTATCTGACATTGAAAACAATGTTCCCAGTGAAACAAAGAAACGTCGATATCTCACAGGAAATGAGGAAGTTAACACATTAACTTATGAATGGTTTAAAGATGCTGTTAATAGGAGAGTAAACATCACAGGGCCATTAATACAGGAGCAGGCCCTCAATTTTGCAGCAAAACAAGGAAATACGTCCTTTAAGGCCTCGAAAGGTTGGCTTGAGAGTTTCATTAAGAGACATAATATTTCATTTGGGTCTATGAGTGGTGAGAGGGGCGATGTAAAGCAGTCAACAATTTCTGAATGGACAGACAAATTACCTACATTTATATGTGCAAACTATAAACCAGAAAATATTTTCAATATGGATGAAACGGGTTTATTTTTTCGTGACAGTGGACGTAAGACTTATCGATTAAAAGGTGATGATTGCGCTGGAGGGAAAAGATTAAAGGAGCGAATAACAGTGGCTTTGTGCTCTAGTTTGACCGGCGAGAAGATTAAGCCTCTTGTTATTGGTAAATCTCGTAACCCGAGGTGTTTTGGTAGAATGGACGTGAAAAGTTTGCCAGTTGATTATTTTTTTAATAAAAAAGCGTGGATGAACAGTTACATTTATGAAGAATTCCTGAAGTCACTAAACAGAACTAGAAATGTGTCATCATGCCACGGATGCCCCCGCATGCAGCCAAAATTTCAGATGTTATAATATTTAGTTCCAAATTTGTTTGCACAAATTATTGTTTTCATTTTAAGTTCAAAGCCCTTAAAACTTTTCAACGTTTACACAAACCATTTTCATACAATGTTCAAGGCACTGAAATTATTCAGTCTTAACCTTTTGAAAATAGCATATTTCATATTTGTAGCCAAAATAATGGCTACATACATTTCCACAAAAGTATGAGTGCTGAAACTGAAAGTTCAAATTTTTTCCAATATTCAAGAAAGATAAGTTTGTCCAAAATCATTGAACCATGACCAAATTCAAACTTAAACTGCTTATTCCTAAGATGTATCTATATTATTATCAAAGTGAAAGGGACATAACTCTGCCAAAAAATCATCGAACCATGACCAAATTCCAACTTGACCTGCTCATTCCTTTGACATATCCATATGTCAAATTTGAGTTGAATATGTAACACTGTTGGGTAGATAATGAACAGAAACTGTAAATTTCATATTATTTTCAAAGTGAAAGGGGCATTACTCTGCCAAAAATCATTGAACCATGACCAAATTCGAAATTGGCCTGGGCATTCCAAAAACATATCCATATGTGAAATTTGAGTTGAATGTGTTGTACTGTTGGGGAGATAATAAACTGAAACTGAAAATTTCATATTATTTTCAAAGTAAAAGGAGCATAACTCTGCCAAAAATCATCAAACCATGACCAAATTCAAACTTGACCTGTATTTTCTCATGACATATCCATATGTCAAATTTGAGTTGAATGTGTTGTACCGTTGGGGAGATAATGAACGGAAACTGAAAATTTCATATTATTTTCAAAGTAAAAGGGGCATAACTCTGCCAAAAATCATCGAACCATGACCAAATTCGAACTTGACCTGTATTTTCTCATGACATATCCATATGCCAAATTTGAGTTGAATATGTGCAACCGTTACTAAGATAATGAACGGAAACTGATGATGACGGAATGACAGAATGACGGAAGGAGGGAAGGACGGAATGACGGAAGGACGGAATGACGGAACAGGGTAACACTATATGCCCCGGCCATTACATGGCGGGGGCATAATAAAAATGAAAAGTCAAAACAGAAACATTTTACTATTTGTCGACAACGCACCTTCACACCCCAAGATCAACTTGAGTAATATCAAAGTACAGTTTTTGCCGGCCAATACAACGTCTGTCACACAACCAATGGATCAGGGGATAATCCAGACAGTAAAACTCAAGTTCAGAAAACGTCAGGTAGGTTTTTTTTCCGACATGAAAAATCACACACACATTATTTGAAGGCTAGGAAATCAATTTTAATTCTGCATGTAATAATTTCCTTTTTTGATTTGCAATAGAAATCTGCTTTTAATGTATAAATGCTAGTGTTGATGTCAGGTGGATAATTATTTTTGTCTTATTGTCAAATTTAATCTGCTTTTCTGTAAGGCAGCATACTTTTAAGGTATCAACATGCGTTTTAACACATTTTTCTTTGTACATTTCAGTTACAACATATGATACGCGGTATGGAGCAACATCCAGCTATGCAGGGCAGTGAGCTTCTGAAACAAATAACAATCTTAGATGCAATTTACTGGCTCAGCAATTCATGGTCAGAAGTCGAGGGAAGCACAATTGTAAAATGTTTTTTAAAAGCTGGATTCAGTTTTGATTGTGATTATACAAATAGTTCGGGCAGTGCTCTTTCTGTTACTGGTGTTGATGCCAATGACGATGAGGATGATGATGTCCCGTTAGCAGTAATGCAAATGTCGCACGAGCTTTTTGGGTGCGATTATAAAGACCTCATCAGAATTGATGAAGAATTGTTAACATGCGAAATACAAAATTCAAACTGGGATGCACCAATTGAAACTTTACTTTCACAATTTATGCCAGAAAATTGTGCTTTCTCTACCGGCATTGATAGTGAGGATGATGACAGTGATGACAATGATAATGATTCATCAGTAAATGTACCGACTTACTCTGAGGCTTGTGACTATGTTAATAAACTTAAAACCTTTGCGGTCAGTTTAGGAAATCAGACACTGGTTGATAACATTGTCAAATTTTATGATGAGCTGTGCAACTAGATCTTGAACAAACCGAAACAAACACAGATTACTGATTTCTTTGAAAAGAGAACAGTGTAATTTAATATTTTAAGTCACCATGAGATATGCATTTAGTATGAATTTTAATTAGTGTTACCAAGAGACAATAATTTTAATATGAATTTTAATTAGTGTTACCAGAAGAAAATGCATTTAATGTGAATTTTAATTAGTGTTACCAAGAGACAATGCATTTAATATAATTTCTATTAGTGTATAGATAGCTGAACTTTATCCAGTGATACATTTTATTTTTTTAACTCCCTTTAACTGTCCTTTTTAATGATCTTAAAGTAAACTGGTAACATTTTAATGTTTTCAATGGTTTTATTGTTTTATCAAATTACATTGTACTGTATTTTAAATGTTTTATCTTTTTAAATGCAATAAAAGAAATAGTTTATAGCCAATTATCACTCTTATCTTAATACCATGTATGTATTTCAATGAAATAAGTCAATACTTAGCTATACATGTACATATCCATGTACATTTTTAAACCAATGTTGGCAAATTTGGCAAGACTGTTTTAAGAGACTCCCTGTCATATGTGACCTTTTTTCTTGTTTCCCAAAGTAGGTCACTTAAAACAGTCTAGACTGTAGTACCAATTACCTTAAATTGTAATTTCAATCTCGTTTTATTGTTAACTAATTTTCACCAGCACCCGATTGCTTTGTTTTAGTATACAAAATGTATACGCTGTACATGTTCAAATGCTAAATATTTATAAATATACATGACATTTACAAGATTTTTTTAAAGTTTTCAAAATTAAAGACCACTGGAATGACCAAGTAGTACTTTCTAATACAATTATTGCTGAAGATTCGCTGTAAATTACGGCGATACATCGCGGCGATTTTTCGTGAACCGCCATGAAATTCGGCGAACTTACACGCGGCGATGTCATAGACTACACTCGCAGCATAATGCGACTTTTGCGGGTTTCGCGTGTCCAGTACTGTAATATTACAATTAAGATCCGTGATAAAAGTTACATGTGAAAGAAATCAGTTATTTTGGATTGTTTTCTATTCTCATTCAAAGCTTCATAACCAAATGCCTCAAGCTCTGAGCAACACTTGTACAGTTTTTCATCCGGCTCGCGATCTCCCAAAAATTTTCGGACAGTATCTATGGCACTAAAAAATTCACAGACAGACACTGGCTGAATTTCTTGTACGTCGCTGTCATCGCTGGACGACTGGGTGTCTTGATCTTTTGAATGTTTCATTCTGATTTGATTCACAATATCAGTTTCAGACGGATTTAATCTTGTTTCAAGTGAATTATCAACATTTACAAAATCATCTGCTGTAACATTTTCAGGCAAGGGAATGTTTTTTCGTAACTGCATCCATGAATCACGGAGTTCTGAGAGGGGCAGGTCATCGTTTACATTTTCAATGAGCTGAGCCAATGGTATGTCGTCATCAAGGTCATTTTGTTCTATGAAACCAGCTCTTTTGAAACAATTAGCAATTGTTGTAGCGGAAAGTCTGTCCCAGGCAGAACTTATAAAATCGATTCCACGCCGAATCTGAATCTGTACATCTTGCCTCTTTTCGTAACATCTGGAAAATTAAATAATTAAATTATACGAGGGTTGATCAATATATTCATGGACACTATTAATAACTTAATAATTAATCAAGATATTATAAAGATTTTTTGCTATTTAGGAGAAGAATTTAACACTATTCAAATATATTGTGATTTTTTAAAAACAAATCTCATTTTATTCATTATATGTATCGCCATAGCAACCCTATACCGTACGAACGCCGCAGCTCAAAAAAAAGTTATATTTACCATTTTGAAATACTTAAAAATTGTCCTTATTTTGGCGTGCTTCTTTAAAATATGAAAATGACGGCAACGTTCTTTTATATCGTTTATAGAACATTTAAAAAAGCAAGCGTCGCTACGATTTCTTTCGTTTGTTGGAGATGTTAATGGAGACAGGGGTGTGTCACCAGAGAGGAGCATGACGTTGTTGGAGCAGAGGGCAGTTATTAAGTTCTGTGTAAATCTTGGTATGACGCCAAAGCAAATTAAGAAAACATGGAAATTGTATCTGGAACAAAAAAGTGTCTTATTCGTTAGTTTATAAGTGACACACACACTTCTGTGAGGGTAGAGAAGAACTTCAGGATGATAAGAGATGCTGCAGACCAATCAAAACTTGTTGCGATGCGAACGTTATGCGAGTGAAATTGAAGGCAGAGTTAAAGGGACACAAGTTAACCGGGTTCCATGATTTGCAGTCCATAGCATTGTCTGTGTTGCGTTCATTTGATACTTCATTGTATAAGAACATTTCCAGTCGGTGGGTACACAGGCATGAACGATGTGTAGAAGTTGGTGCTGCATTGTTTTTGAGAAGATGTAACGCCGACGTCACGACGTAACGTAAGTTGCAAATGAGCTGCGGCGATCAGCTTTACATGTATTTCTGAAAACTGTCATTTCGGATAAAATGTATGGAATATTTATCTGAAACTTAAACATCAAATTGATAAATAATTGAATAAATGTCAAATATAATTATATTAACTTTCCTTCCCCAAAAAAACAATTTATGGAGTGTGTCCACGAATTTATTGATCAACCCTCGTACTTGCGGTTTGCATTGCATTTAGATAAGCTTTTAAACACTTATTTTGCAATTTTTTGTAACTGTTTAGTTAACATTGCATACAGAAAATCGATTTTTTGGTAATTATCGGGCATTAACAGCTTTTCATTGTAATATATTTTATAATTAGTTAGGGTGCGAAACTTACCGTAACAAGTAGGTAATTATGTTGCGTCTATACAACTGTTTAAGACATCGAATGACTCCTTGATCCATCGGCTGTAAGATAGAGGTCGCATTTCGAGGGCTCGGCGCAAGACTATTCTAACTTGTATTTTGAAAAATTTTCAGGAAATGGAAAAAATATGTTATTTTATTTTGATTTCATTTTTTGAAAAAAAAATCACAACCAATCTTATCAAAAAATAGAAATAAGTTGTGTACATGTTCATTTTTTCAAGAAAAGTGTAAAATATGCATTTTATTGCCTACATGTTAACATAGCCTAGTATTGCACTAGAAAAGCTACTTTTTCCAGAATATTTATTGTGCAAAACTATTCTATCTTGAGTTAGAATACTTTAACACTATAAAGTATGTCCCTTTGATTCCTAAATCTCGTGCAAAACTATTCTATCTTAAGATAGATTACTTTTGCAATAACTTGAAAGTTAAGAATATCTTTTATCTATCAAGTTAGAATATCATGTTTACTCGGGCGGTTCTAAGACCATAATATAAAGTATAATTTGATATTGTTACATATTTGCATAATTATCAGTGATTTATACCCTACTTAAATATATAGTTGGTACTTGTAAGTGTTAGCAACCTCATACAAACACAAAAATTGGATAATAACTTTCATTCTAGTCATATCTTTTGTGTTAATACAAATTCTTAAAAGTGAAATCTGCAGATTCTTAATATTAATCCTCATGTTGAGGCAAAAGCTTTTGTTGCAAGTTTTTTATATGCATGACTCAGGATTACTGACTGCAATGACACAAATAATGAAATGATGAACATGATTATGGTACTTTGTGCTAGAAAGCATTGTGCATGCATGCTTGGGCTGTGAATGCATCCTTGTTGATGCACAATTAAAGGACTGCTTTAACCTCCATTATAGGAATTTTAAAATCCTTTAAAGCAGCACGCCTCCAGATTAATGCTAATTTTCATGAAAAATTTGAAAATGTGTTATAGTAAAGTAAAACATTGTGAAGTGAAAAAAGAAAATAACTTTCACATTGTAAACAGTACTTACAACCCATGTTAATTACCAAAAAGAGGTCAAAATATGCTAAAATAGCCCTTAATACTGCATTAGTAATGCAATAGAACTAAGGTTGAAAAATACTGCGAAATCGGTCATAATTCGCACATAACTTGGAACTTGAAATCTTTTTACTGAATACTTTTGTTCGGTTTGGTTTTATTGACATATTTTGGTTCATCTTCAGGCATGCAGCTTTAAGTCTCTTATTATTTTAATTTAAATAGGTATTGGTAAAAAATACATGATGTTATTCAGAATTATTTACTAACACATTAGACATTTCACAAATTTAAAAGATATAAATCATAATATCATTAATTCAATTAATAGTAAAATTGTTCTGTGACTATAATTTTACAAATATAATATGATTTTGCATAAAAAAAACAAATTTTCTATTTATTCCATCCTGTTTTATCAGTTTTAATCTTTTTTTCCTGACTTTTGCCAAATAACGACATGCGCTCTCATTAATGATGTCATAAAATCATGATGTCACATAGTTCTTATTGAAAAATAATCCTGTAAACTTTTACTCATAATGTTACATTTTTGAATTGATATGACTATGTAGATAACTAGATATTTATGTGTTTTTTGTATTCAAGCACCTTTTACTCATAATGATGTGTATTTTGATGGTATTTCTATATATTTTAAGTTATATTCTTTTCATCTGCATTCAGATAGGTCTGGCTACTGTGTTACTGTTAATGATATTTTATAATTTCACTGTCCACTGAAAAGCATGTAATAAAGGTAATATTGTGAGAAATACACTTAATTATAAGTATAATGTGATATATGATTAGAGGCACTTAAATATTTGCACATATGTTAAAAATCAAACAAAATTAATGAAATACTGTAACAGAATTATTTTTTGAATATAAACATAATGTGATAAAGTAATATATATGATGATACACAGAAAAAAATCAAAATGGCTTAAAACCATTAAAAACATATGAAATAAATGTAAAATTTGTTTATTTTACATGTAAGATCATAAAATATTTCATTTTATTTGTGAACACCAGCAGTGTTATACTTTCACTTGTGGCTGTGTCAAAATATTGCATTAGGTGTTCATTTTATAAATTTCTTAGAAACTGACATTTTAAAAGTGTATTTTAATACAAAACACAAAATTTAATGATACTCTTTAGAACTTTAGAAGATATTTTAGCAGTAATTAATTGTCATAATATTGTAGTATTACTTAATTGTCATAATGTAAAAGAATGTGCTGCTTTAAATAGTAAAAACAATCCTTATTTCAAGAAATAAATCATCAAAAACAAAATATTTTTTTACTATTAGTAATAAATGTTGCTGAAGATACATAAATTCAGTGAAAGTTCTGGAAGTTTTCAAGATTAAAAATTTCAAAAATTCAACATTCATAAGCACATAACTCTGATTAAATTGTATTTCTAAATTATAAATCTAAATGTACTATAAAGTAGACTTTTGTAAATACAAAGAAAGAAAACAATTATGTACAGGCTTGAAAACTTAAATCATGCTATTTGAACTGGAATAATAAGAATCTTTAGGAATACTGATTAAAATTAGCTTCTAATTAACACTAACATTAGGATCTGACGACCACCAATTGGTTGTCATCTTGTCATAACCTTTCGAACAGCAAATCATCGGCAAGCTTTCACAATTTTGAAAGCGATGTGGTTTCTAACTTTAATGGCTGGTAAACCATTACTGAGTAGGTCATTT